TTTTTTTGGTAAAGAATTCTGATGTGACCCTGAGGCAAAAGTTGTCAAGCTTATTTTTCTGCATAACAATAATAATGTTGATAGCACTCTTTTTTTTCTTATTCTTTTTTTTCAGGGCGCTTTTTCTTTTTTTTCTTTTTTTTGCTGGGACCTTCTCCGGTCCTTGCAAGGCCAGGCCACCCTGGAAAACAGGGTGACCCGGGCGGCCCGGCTGGTAGCCTAGATTTGCAAATGATTTGAGCAAAAACAGTCTCTGCCAACCCAATGGGCTTTAGAACAGAGCCCCGAACAAGAAAAGCAGGAGCGCAACTGCGACACCTTATGTTCTGTTTGAGATCTGCGCAGACGTCTCATCACCGACCGTGCTTGAAGAGAACTTTTTTTTTTTTTTTTTTACATTAACGTCGTATCTGGCTCTCAGCACTTCACTTGTCAGACAGAAAAGGCCAAGTAAAAAAGTGGAGCCAAGAGTGGTGAAACCTGCCCAATGAAAGTCCCACAAGAACTTGCAAAGGAAAACAAAGCCATATATACAAAGGCGGTCACGAGAAAAGGGATCGGCCGCATGGCATTTCCTCTAGACGGGTGCATGGTAAATGTCTGTGCATATGCAGCACGCACATCCACACGTGCACACATACACACGTGCACGCACACATGCACAGACGTACATTCCTCGCTCAGCCCGACACACAAATGAGCCAACCTCGCTCAGCTTTTCAAGACACACAGGGGCGAGCAGCAGCTGCGAAAGCTGGCATCCCTGCCCTTGCTTCGGATTTTGGGACACACAGGGTCGTGCAGCGAGTGCAAAATGGGACATCCCTTTCGGATTAGCAGTACGCCTACCACTCTAATCTCAATTGGCGAACAAAGACATCGTAGTCGAACTATGCATAACATATGCATTCAGTGACGTTCAGTCAAGGCATCCACAGATTCCATACCTTTCCGGTGGTGAAGTACTCGCACGGATCGTTCTCAAAGGAAAAGGTTCGGCTTCCAGCGGTGAACTGATTTGCTTTGAAGCCCTCCCATGTGTGACACTCTCCCCACGTGCGAAGTTCGTGAAACGTGATGAAAGAGTGGCCGTCAGCGGTCAGATCGATGCCCATGAAAGATGGTTGGGTGTACCACACAGCAAACACTCCAACCGTCGCCAGACCGACATATGTGCCAATCACCAAATAGCGGAAGAAAACCCAGACGTTGATCAGCTGGTCGTCGCTTCGTCGGGGAGGCCTGTCAATGAACAATGCAAGAAAAAGGAAAAGAACCGTCATCCACCAGAAACAAGAAGAAGAAGAAAAAAAGGCGAAGAACGGTCATCCACCATCCAAGTGTACTGGATTATGCAAGCTACCAGTCCCTTTCACAGCTATTCCATTCCGATGAGGAGGTTACCACGGACGGAGGCCGGTCAAAAGGGGGTCGGCCTACTGGAAGGGAAGGGCTGGTAGTGCCCAGCTGAGAGAAAATATTTTGCAGCCACCTTTTTCTAAAGCTGGATACACAGGAAAGCCGTTGCCTAATAAAGAAAGAAAGAAAGAAAGAAAGAAAGAAAGAAGCTAAAAAAAAAAAAAAGCTAAAATAGATAAATAAACTAAAATACATAAATAATTTAAAATAAACCATACTTGCAAGCAGATGGACTGGACGAGCGTCCGGTCCGGTCCGCTTTGCCGAGTGTGGAACCCTCTCCCCGGACCAGACCGGACGGGGCCGTTTTCTCTTGGGGGGGGGGGAGAGGCATAACTGGTCGTCAGGAGCACATTCGTGGGCCGCGCGGGTCCGGTCCGGCGGTCTGCCGCACGTGCGGAACCGCCCGGGTGGCGTCCGCTTGCAAGTATGAAATAAACTATAAAAAAAAAAAAGGTGGCTGCACACACACACACACACACACTCCTGATGAGTCGGTGACTAACGAGGAGGTCTGGCAAACTTGCACATTTTTACTGTGGGGTTCTGTACAGCAAACATGAAAGCACACACACCATAGCACACCAGCACGCACAACCACACACACATGCACAGCCAAAATGAACATGATTGGGAAAGAGGGACAGGAGGAAGCGACACAAGAAAACAGCAAAGAACCAGAAGCAGAGCGAAGTGCGCCTGACATGGACAAACAGTGAAGGACGCAAGATAGGATTTTCCACACTTCCATTCATGAGGAAAGTGGGGGCGGAGGAGGGGGGCCGGCGGGGGGGGGGTCGACAGCATGAGGCTGTCGCGGTAGAGAGATGGGGTTGGTGGGGAGGCAAAGAGAAAGAAGGTTGTGGCATGAGACTGTTGGCCGAGAGAGAGAAAGAGACTCGTCATCGTTGGGACATGAGACTCTCGGGGGAGAGCGACACACAGAGTGTGTGCCTCACCCAAGTCATCCCCTCCCTCCTTCCTCATGTTGTAAAAAACGTCACAGAAAAAAGAAAAAGAATACGCAACGACTTCCATTCGACAACCACATTACCACAGAAAGAAAACACAAGAAAGCATGTTGGCTAAAAATAGATAAAGTGCAGTATCTGTTCTGATCAGTTTAATAATATCTGATCCATGGTCCATCAGACCACATAAAACAAGAAAGGAAGAGGACCGCAAAGGACACCAGAAAGAAGGGGAAGGGGGGGGGAGGGGGACCATACAGCGGAAAGACCAGAACATGGCATACCTTCTTCCCCCGAATACAACGTATGGTCATTATAGCTGTAGTTAGACTGAAAGATACCCCAAATTCCGCTATTATGAAATGACTGTACGTTATATTTGGTGGAAGACTGTCGTTTTATCGATCTCTACAGATCCAAGTATTCGGGAGAAGGGCGGGAAACAAAAAAAAACGGATTTCTTGAATCATTTCGACAGGCTCAAGAAGAAGAAGAAGAAGAAGAAGAAGAAGAAGAAGAAGATCATCCAGCACAAGCGCAGCAAGCATGTGCAATTTTTCTTTTGGCCGAGTCCGGAGACGGGATGAGATCAGGAGATCAAAACTCACTTGCGCATAATATCTGTGTCCGGCGGATTGAAACCCAAGGCAGTTGCAGGCGGACCATCTGTGACCAGGTTCACCCAGAGCAGTTGCACAGGGATAAGACCCTCCGGCATCCCCATCGCCGCTGTCAGGAAGATGGAAGCCACCTCTCCAATATTCGAAGATATCATGTACCTGCAGACATAAGCGGCCGCATAACAACCCACCAAAAACCGCGAACAGCGCATTCTCAGCATTCTCAGATTAGCTTAGATAGTCAGATCATCATCATTCAGTACCAGTAAAAGGGCCTTTACCCGATATAGGCCTCAGGCCTTGTAAAAATAAAGCAGCACGGGCCTTGAAAAAGTAAAGCATTGTGAAAAGGTATCTCGTCAGAGCTCAGAAACGTGAAAGCAGGTCAAAGGTCAAGTTCTCTATCAACAGGCATATTTAAAACTAAGGCAAAGGGCATTGTCAAAAGACTTACCTGTTCACCAGGAGATGTGTATGTCATGTCTGTTTGGGTAAGGGTGTGTCTGTACGTGCAGGCAGTGTGTCTGTTCGTGCCAAGTAAAGTGTCTATTCAAGCAGTAAATGTGTCTGTTCGTTGAGAGTTGTGCCTGTCCGAAAGTAAAGTCAATAGGCACAGTCCCAGTTCTGGTCTAAGTCCAGGGATCAGTCCAGATCCAGACTTTCAAGTCCAAATTCAGGCCGGGAGGCCTCAGCAGCAGTTGAACTTCGTTTGGGACTCTACTGGGACACATGCAATGCAGGGTCTGGGACAAAAGGAAGGCTGGATTGAGCCAATACAGACCCAGCGAGGAGTATAAAGGCTGTCTCTTATACACATCTAGATGTGTATAAGAGACAGCACTTCATTCTCAGCATTCTCAGATTAGCTTAGATAGTCAGATCATCATCATTCAGTACCAGTAAAAGGGCCTTTACCCGATATAGGCCTCAGGCCTTGTAAAAATAAAGCAGCACGGGCCTTGAAAAAGTAAAGCATTGTGAAAAGGTATCTCGTCAGAGCTCAGAAACGTGAAAGCAGGTCAAAGGTCAAGTTCTCTATCAACAGGCATATTTAAAACTAAGGCAAAGGGCATTGTCAAAAGACCTGTCTCTTATACACATCTAGATGTGTATAAGAGACAGGTGGGAGACTATCTGCAGGGGTAGCACTGATTCACTGGAAGGCATATTGATGAGTTGGCAAGATATTGGTGTTGCGCTGATGAGCGCTGGACTCAGGGAAACTTTGAAACACTTTGTATTCATATTTTTGATAATATAAGCTGTGAAACTCGGTTCTCATCTTCTCTACCTTTGTCTATTATCAGACTACTGTTCGATGTGTGTGGGAGAACGATGCATGGCATGTACACACTTGCGTGAGATGGTCTCCAGGACCCATGCACCAGACAAATAACCGCTGATAAACAGATCAAGAGCGCAGATCGGGTAAGGAGTGGATACCACTTCCGCCTGGCCCCCCCCCCCCCCTGGGGGCGAGGACAGGGGGAAGGAAGGGGAAATAAATCAGATCACCACTCAGAGAGTAAATGCCAATTGTGAGCCACATCCACACACGGTCACCATACTTCTCTCTCGTCCAACCAAAACCACAACCCATGTCCACTGGGACATCCGTTAAAATTGACCATACTCTTCCGCGCACCTGCCCTGTGCGCTGTGCGCAGGCCCGAGGTGCGCACGCACATGCGCTCGCCGAGCATCTGGGTGCACTATGCGCGCTGCGCACATGTCGGCATATGCGCCGGGTGCGCACATCCTTTTTTTTTTATAATATGTTTCGTTGGAGAACACACACACACACACACACACACACACACACACACTGCAGGGTTGATGCTGGCGGCGATTAGAACTTCCCTTGAATGAGCAAGAATGAATTGAGCGAGCAAGAGAGAGAGAGAGAGAGAGAGAGAGAGAGAGAGAGAGAGAGAACAGGCAAGTCTCCAACGCCGCGGCTGGCCTCATGGTACTTCATCGATAGGATGAGCAAAATCAAATGAATGTACCGCTAGAACATGGAAATATACACTGCCACTTATTTTTTTTCAGAGGCCCCGCGTGGCCTCAAATTTTTATTTTTATTTTGTGTTTCTTGACACGACATCCCACTCGGGCCTAGAATACCCCTCCCCAACTTTTCCTTTTCTTTCTCAACCCCTGTGCTGCACCCAGTGCACGCGCGTCGTGCGCTGTCCGCGGTGCGCTGCGTGTGCGCAGTGCAGCGCATGTCGATGTGCCGCATGTACGCACACAACCCATGGTCTGCGTCTTCACAGACATCCGAACGCACAACGGTTGATCCAAACAACATCGAACACATCGTAAATATCAAAAGCACGCCATGTGTCTTTACTACTCCATGAACCCCTTGCCCTCGGCGTGTTTGCGCTGACTCGTCACAGCTTCGCTTGTCTTGACATAGGCAAAACCGCCCTGCCACAACGCAAGAGGGTCTTCAATAAGGCAAAAAACATAATGCAAAGCCCCTAGTGGCCAAATCGGTCTTACATGTGGCTACCATCAGACAGACCAATAGCTCAACGTTCAAACCCTACTGGGTCACAATACGGCAATAAGGCTAGGCACTTACCCGCTTGAACCACCAGCAGCGCAGCCCTACTTCATCGAACCCTTCAAAAACATTCTCCCGCACCTGACCTGCTCAGACTGAAAGACCCGGCGGACCGCGTTGATCGACATACTCAACTGGTTTGTACAACTTCACACCACATTTCTGTTCACGGACAAAAACGTTTTTGAAGGGGTTCCCCCCCCCCCCCCCCATTTTTCTGATACTACGCCCTGACACAGAAGAACCTAGCCGACATCCTGAGTTTTCAAGGACATTCGTCGGCAGTGGAAATGAGAATTAAAGATCGTGTCCTCTGGGACATCCATTAAAATCAGAACGATACAGAGAAGATTAGCATGGCCCCTGCTCAAGGACGACATAGATAAATCGACAATGGTCCAACCAAAAACGAAAAGAGAAATAAAACATCGCCAAAGTTGGGGCATAGGTCAACCGTGTGCACCCCGCCGGTAGCCCCCTTGAGTCCGGTAAGCCAAATCCTTTTGCCTCAGTCTCTGCGTCTACCCAGCAACGGCCTCCGCTGGGCGGGCCTACGGTACTGGTGGGTCGAGGTGAACGAAACCACCAGTACATCCGCAGTACAGGCAAACTTGCGAATCAACGTGGAGGCAATCCAAACATTTCGGCATTTCGGGGCTACCGGACCAAAATGGCTGGGACTGCCAGGCAAAAGAAGAGAAAAAAGCATCGCGCTAGCATTTCAGCAAAGCATGGAACGCAGGGGGGAATCCACCTCGGCAGAAAGAGGCTCGGCTCAGACATAGGGTGGGTGTAAATAAAAAAAGAGGGTCATCAGCAAGTGTTGTGCTCTTTAGGGCAACGAAGAGAGCTTGCAGCTGCAGGAACCAGCTCGTAGGGCCCGTGGCAGCATCCTGAAGTCGATCACTCAAAAGCCCATATAGCTCCATAGCGGGTGCTACTTGTTCGTCCATTCGCCTTGATAAGCTCCACACTCGCAGAGAAGATTACCCTGCACCCGCGGAGCACACTGCACATCATCACCTCCACACGCTTGAAGGACAATAATAAACTGTGCCCGCATTGCCCCCATTTTTATTCTGAAGGACAAGGGGACAATCCAATCACACACCTGATAAACGCTTTCATGTTGTTGTAAATCGACCTCCCTTCAGCGACGGCCGCCACAATAGTGCTGAAGTTATCGTCTGCCAGCACCATGTCTGATGCCTCCTTCGCCACCTGCACATGACGGAGCACGACAACATACAAAACAGCCTTGAGCGAAAAAAAAAAAAAAAAAAGTGGCCTTCAGCATCTAACACATCATTCCACAACACCGACGAGGGGCATACTCGACACGAGGTCCTTTCTGACTCAGCTCTGGAAGTAATTGCATTCGGATACGTCCTCGTCATCTCGGACCATGATTGCGGTCAGATACTGAACGTAATTGCGGTCACATACGTCCTCATCTGGCTACAGTCGAGGCTGTATACATCGAAGAGGAGGACGTATCTGAACGCAATAGCATCCAGAGCTGTGTCAGTGTAAGTATCTCTGACAGCACACTCACATGCGGTTCTAGTGTTAGTTCTAGTGCGAGTATGCCCTGAAATCGTGGCTTGAGGATCCAACACGTCATCGCACTACGCTGAAATCATATACAATCCGGCGGTACTGGCGGCCAGGCACATCTAAGAACGTTCTAGTGTAAGTTCTAGTGTAAGTTCTAGTGTAAGTTCTAGTGTAAGTTCTAGTGTGAGTATGCCCTGAAATCACGATCACAGTAGAATTGAATCTCCTATATTACACGGACACATTGGCGGATTCTCAACCTGCGAAAGCCGACATACAGCTGCACTCTCGGACTGCCGGAAGTTGTTCGCTGTCCCAGCTTCCATGGGCCCAGCTGGCACATGGAACAGCTCCAGCTGCGGAACCAGTGGGGGGATCAAAGGACGGTGTACAAAGCAAGCTGAGTAGACAAAACATTGGTTCTGGTTGGCCACTTCCTACAGCCGAGTAGAACGCCCAGTCAGTATCGCTGTACCTAGACAGACAGTTACCCTAAATACAGCAATAATAACCAGGTGTTCTATTTGGGAGAGGAAGGTAGTTAAGACTTGTCAATCAAGCGACTGAACATTGCAAGGGTAAAATGCAAGCACGTCATACTGACAGAGGTCCAAAAAAGCACGCACGCACGGACATAGAATCGACCTATGGTTCGCCGGGCCCATGCTGACTATCGTGGGGCGACATGCCATCGCCTGGAGAGCAATCAACTGCAATGGTGATAAGCAAAAGCTGCATAGGCACATACCTTTTTTTTGCCTTTTTTTTTTTTTTTTTTGGATGCCTTGCTCGGTCTTTTGGCTACAATCAAGCGTAGTATCTGTTCTGATCGGTTTAATATCTGATCCATAGTCCACTGGACCCCATCAAAAAAAAAAGGAAAAAAAAGTGCTCCATACTAGGCTACCAGAGTGACCCGGGACCACTTGCCCGGGCGGGGCAAAAAGAAAATGAAAAAAGCTTTTTTTTCCGAATTTGATATAGAATTCCGATGTGATCCTGAGGCAAAAGGAAAGCTTCACAGCTCCCATGAACTGGCGGGCAGTTTAAGTCCCGCATAAGTCTGCGGGCTATACTACCGATGGGGGTCATGTGCTGATTGGAGCGAAGTGTGCGGTGATTGCCGGCATGTGCTGATTGGAGCGAAGTGTGCGGTGATTGCCAGCGTCCGTGTGGTAAAGTTGTGTGTGGTGTGCGTTGAGTGTGGACACTACAGCGTTGCAGGGTTGAGGCGCTTTTTTTTTTTTTTTTTTTTTTTTNTTTTTTTTTTTTTTTTTTTTTGTTGTGGAAAGGTTATGATTTGGTCAGTTGGTTACACGGCGGTCGCCGCTTTTTTCTTTGGAATGCTTCCGCTTTTGGACACTGTGTCCTGGCTGTAGTGGTTACGATACTTGGCTCTTGAGGCCGAGGTCGCCGGTTCTAATCCGTGCTTACACGGAGGAGGGCTTAAGCCCAAGGTACTGATCCAATGACAGAAGTTGTTCAGATTATTTTTCTGCATTACATAGTTTGTTTCCGGATTGTTTTTTTCGGAATTCTAATTCGTTTTTCTTTTTTTTCCTTTTTTTTTTTTGCTGAGACCTTCCCTGGTCCTTGCACGGTTGCACCGCCCTGGAAAACAAGGTGACCCGGGCGGCCCGCCTGGTAGCCTAAGCTGCATAAGACAAAACACTGTTATTGTTTTACTGGTCGGTCTGCTTTGGAGTTTTGCAACAAGCTTTTATGATTTGTACTGCTGCACGGGTAAAACATTGCTTCTGTTTTGCTGGCCGGGCCGGGTTGTTTAGGCCTTTTAGGGTTTAGAAAACCTTTTTTCTTTACATCATGCTTTGACAGATTTGTCTCGTTGAATTGTTCGGGGTTCAGAAAAGTCGCTTATTACTGCAGAATGATAGTTGCGACTCTCGGTCATTGGTGGCACGCAGAGAATTGAAGCACAGGGCCCCCCGCTCCACTACACAACACTCCACATGCACTTGGACGCTTTCTGGACCAGGAGCGTTTCAAGGATCCAACATTTTCAATGTATCGGGACTAAACCTCCAAATGCATGTAGAGTGTTTGTGTAGTGGGGAGAGGCCCGGGTTGGACACTAAAACAATGCCCGTACCTGTGCGGAATCTTCTGTGAGTGAACACTGGGAAGGGAAAAAAAAAAAAAAAAAAAAAAAAGGGCAGGTGGCATACTAGCCACACATGCCTCATGGTTGAATTGGTATGCCGGTGAAACTCTTCGAAAACAGGTATACGATAATGTGTGCAGCTATCCC